TGCTGGGGAGGAGGAGGAAGCGGTCAAAGATGTCAGATACCTGCAGGACAAACTGCAGGAAGTCAGTGGGAGCTTTCCTAGTGTAAAACCAGCATGACAGACTTAAATATAAATGAGAGAGGATGGTAAGAAATATTTTTCACACATTTGTGAACTGAGGGACCTATGAAGTCTAATGAGTGCAGAAAGCAGGAGCTTTATTACAACGTAACTCTCAGATACGCTGTTTTAGTGTATCTCTGTAGCTTTCTGTGTGACTCTTTCCCCCCTTGCATCTACTTACAAAAAATAAATTTACAATGTTCCCTGACAATGCAAAAATGACAGCTCTAAAAAGCTTTACAGAAACATCTCGCCAGTTTAGGTACACAATATCCATTGACATGCGGTGATATTTAGCTGCCCGATCAGGTGCTTTTGAAGATCCACCTGGATGCCTGTCTATTTATGTATGCACCCAGTATCTCTGCAAATCTGCATCACCTTATCTGTTACTCTGTTCAGACCTCCAGGTACCAGACTTTGCCTCCATTTATCCAAATGTGGATCCTTTAAGTTACAGAGAAGTGTGACACCTGTTTATCTTACTAAGGTAAATGTCTAAGGCAACCTTAGATTTGAAATAAGCTACTTTTTCGATTAGACTTAGAAGACAATGCAATTTTTTAAAGTGTCTCATCTTTTTAGAAAAGAACTACCTTATTTAAGAAATTAGTGTTTAGAAAAATAGAATTTAATTAGAATCAGCCACTACTGTTTTAACAAGAGACTGTTGACTATGTTGCACCTAAAGACAAACAACTAGTGACTGGGAGCTTATGCTTTATCAAAGTAAGTTTAGAAATAGACAAGATTTGCAGAATTAGCTGATTTTGCCTGAAATACACAAATGCTCTTCTAGTCTTCCCTGCCCATCTACAATGAGATCAGATATAATTTAGCATGGGTTAGGTGCTAGTGAAGCAAAACAGTCAAAGGTACTTGTATTTGTAAGCAGTGTCCATCAGAACACTCCAAGAATTACTATAGTTGATTAAATGTTGAGCTTTCCACAGACGGTTCCTAAGCATTCACTGAAACAGTGTATGAGACATAGTCCAGAGAAATCTTGCTTTATTCAGGTATGCAGGTTTTCATCTCATCTTAATATTCATATACTGTATTCCTTTTACTTGCCCAAGAGTAACAGTATGATGGTTATGTAAACTGATGCTTGTATTAAGATGTTACGTTGACATGCAGTTTGGTGCTATATGTAGACACCAAACATGTATACAGTAACCACCATTAGGTCAAGTCTCAGATACAATTAGGATGACAAATTTTTGTGATTTTTTTTGACAAAATGGCAATGTGAATTTAAATTTTTGCATGACTGAAATACAGTTTGTAATTGAATGTAGTGTAGACAATTAAAAGTGAGATAACAGGGATTCTACTTATGATTGCTTCAATTTACCATGCACTTATTAACGATACAATCAATTATTTTACTGTAAATCAGCTACTTTGAGTTTGAGGTCTTTTTGCAATGTCTCTGTTAGGTTACAGGAGCATAAATCAACCTCCCATCTCTTTTTACATCCATAACCATAACATATGGCTTTTATTAGAAAATGTTAAGCGTCTTATAATGTCTTCTTAATGGACAGTATATGCATGTGTTGATGATGAAAGCCATCTTCCTTCATGCAAAATATTAATGCATATAGGCCTACGTCTCCATAGATACAAGTTAAAGAATCATATTTAAGCCATGAAATATTCAGAATACACTTCAACTTTGACCAGAATTCATATTTCTCTAGTTTAATGATACTTTAAGGAAAGAACAAGTTAAAGGTAAATCAAGGGTTGAATTCTACCAGGTACACACATGTGATTGTGAATAAACAGTGTAACATCCACTGTGAGAAAAAAAACACAAATCAAATCACTTTATAAAATGCCTGCTCCTAAATGAAAATACCCATAAAGAATTAGCAAATGGATTTTATATCCTCCTAGAATTCCAGTTTGTACATCACAAAGACTCTTAATATTGGTTATAGATTTTATCCTCCAACCTAAAATTCCACAGTGCTTCCAAGCAGAAGGGTTTTTTAGCCTCTGTGTTCTTTTCATTGGCACAACATTATCCCTTTGCCTTTTGGACCATTTCAGAAAATCCTGGAAAAGCACACTGCTTTGACTTGAAATGTGTTTTACCAACAGATTCCTGGACACCAGAGATCTGCTATTCAAATCAATGCCTGCTAACACTGGGCTTGATTAAAGGAAGCTAACTAAGCCTTTTGAAGGATACCCTCCAGCCTTCCCTCAGTTTCCATGCTCCCTTGGCAGAAATCAGGGATTTGAAAGCTGCAATTCAACAGCATCAACCTTTCATCTCATGGTAAATATTTTATTATTCTTTTATCCCCTATGCTGTTTAAAGGAATTCATTTAAAATATTAACTTCTTTGTTCAGGGAGGAAGTCTCCAAAGGGTATGCAAACAAGAATCTGTAGAAATGCACCAAGATATAACTCCAGGCTCTGGTCCAGCTTTCCCCATTCATTCATTGTGCAGACCTAGCGGCTCCCAGCTGAAGATCTCTGCTCAGACCTCAAATCTCCAGCAGTGCTATTCCACCACCCATTCATACACAACCAGCTCCCCTGTCCTTGCTCTCTGCATTTCCACTTCTCTTTCCTCTGTCCATCCAATTTGCTCCCTAATCTGATCTCACTTCTTTGATCTTCCTCAGGAACACTGATCATCCTCCCACACCGAAGCATCACTCATCCCTACTGAGGTCTGGCAGCAGTTATGCCATAACAAAGGTATGTTTAAAAGAGGAGTAAAATCTACACAAACCAATTTCTTTGCAAAGGCACTATCCTATCTGTTTTCTTGCTTATCGATATGGTTACCTTGGGGGTGAATCCTGCTGCTGTTCCTGAAGTAAAGGTTTGCTTTACTTTAGACTTCAGAAGCAGAATCGGGCCCTAATTTATGTAATTTTCCTCATATGTAATAGCATGACAGGTACCTACTTACAGGAGTCGGGTGACTGTTAAAGACCATCTTTACCCACAGTTATGCTGTGAACTGCATCAGTGTGCATTCACTTTCCAAAACAACTGCAGGCTGAGGAGGGGAGGAGTTGTCCTTCAGTAGCCAGGCAAGAAACTGTCAAACACAGTGTCCCTTCTACATGAATGAACCTCCTCCTCTGATTAATACTCTGCATTTCCCACAAGGGAAAAGAGTGAGGAGGAAAGTGAGCAACTGAATTACCCATTCTCAGAGAAGCATGATCATAAATATTTAACTTGGTATGTATGAGAAAAGAGAAAGGAACAGGCTCCCTTTCCAGTCCAGGCTGAGAAACTCTCCAAATCCCCTGGTTGCCCAGGGACTGCCTGCTCCCATGATCCTTTCTCCATCTTGTAAAGGGGAGACAAGGTGTCTGTCTTTACTGGGGGATGACTGACTGTAAAAATCTGTGCAGGGAGGGAAATTACCTGGTGTAATGGAGATTTCCCTGGTCCATGAATGGGACCCTGCCCCTGGCTTTTTGGATTTTTAGGAGCCTGTTAGAAAATAAGGCTCTCCTAAAGCCCACATATGTGTACGAGTTCACGCCTTGGTGTCCACTCGTGCCGCATGCATGGGGCCTGCTTGAGAGCATGGGTTATGTCCCCATAACCCATGCCTGATTTATATATGGCCACACACATGGATGGCTGCTCAGCTGTGACAGCAGAGATAACCCTGATGATGCTGGGAGGAAGTGGGGGTGAAGGGAGGTTCGAGTGTTTTGATGAGCATGCTGATTGCATAGCTTACCCTTGCATATCTGGAGGAGTAGGGATCCTCAAAGAGCGCCCAAATGCGGGGCTGCCACCGTCTCCAGAAGCCCCCAGACCTGCCATCTGGGGAGTCACTAAGTGCTAGGCGTTTTGTCATCTCCAGCTCCTCTTCACCATCACCAGAGTCTCCGGTGCCATCTATGTCTCCGTCCTCAGCACTGCTATCCAGGGGTGCCCCACCAAAGCTGTCCAGAGCCTCTTCGGCGTCACGGTGCTGCCGGTAGGTCATCCAACAGCAGGGCTCCACATCGGTTTCATCAATGCCCCAGAAGGCCAGCTCCTCCTCATACAGGGGCCCGCACACGTCCGCGGGGCAGTGCAGCTTGCCAGTGCGGTAGTAATTCAGGATGTGGGCAAAGACGCCTGGGTGCCGGTCAAAGAAAAACTCATCCGTGCGGGGGTCATAGTCGAAGTGGCTGTGGGCATCGGGTTCAGCAATCCAGGCCAGCCGCGTGCCGGGCAGGGTGCGTAGGGTGCTGCGGTAGGTCTGGTGCCTAGTCCCTCCCACGTTGATCACAATGCGGTCGCTCTCGTCGCCCTGGCCCATCTCGTCTCTTATTAGGCATGTCGCAGAATCATCCAAGCAAGCACGGCAGGCAGCAAGCCCGTAAGGGGACGGCTGCTCGGCGGCAGTCAGTGCCTAAGCCGAGCCCCGATCCAGGCTCGCGAGCTCGGCTCTCCTGTAGCCGCTCCGAGGGGCAGCCGCTGACGGCGGCTCCCGGTGCTGCACCGCCGTCGTCTGAAGTCAGGCGCTCGGGGGCCGCGGCAGCTGCAGCAGCCGCGGCGGAGGGGCAGGGGCAGGGGGGGCCATGCTCCGGGAGCGCGGGCGCTGCGGTGCCGGGGCGCGGGGACGTGCCGGAGGGGGAGGGCCCTTCCCTGGTTGGACGTGGCCAACAGCACAGGGGGAAAAAAACACGGAAAAATAAAAAGGGAGGAAAATCGCGGCGCCGGCGCTGCCCGCAGATGCTCGGGGCGCGGGTGCCGCTGCAGCCGCCGCGGGGGTACGGCGGGGCTGTGCCCGCGCCCTCCCGGGCGGTGCGGGGCGGGGCGGAGCAGGGCGGGAGCTCCCGCCGGTGCTGAACGGACAGCGCCGCGCACCGCCCTCCCGCCGAGCCGCCTCCGCCCCTGCGGCCGGGTGGAGCGCGCTGCCGGCGGGGGGCTCGGTGCAGCTCGCCCGCTCTCCGGGCAGCGCCGCGCAGGCGCGCTGCTCCCGCCCCGCCGCAGCTCCACAGGTCCTAGCGCCGGCGGCGCCGCCTCCCCGACCCCAGCGGCCCCTCGGCCGCCAGCTCGAGTGCTTCCGTACCGGTGCCGGGACAGGGCTCCCTTGCTCCAGTACCCCTGGCTGGAGCAAGGGCGCCCTCCGCTTACGTCCTGAGTAACCGGCCTCTTCCTCTCAGCGGCGCGATGGTCGCACCGAGTTAAGATCCCTGTCGGGAAGCGCTGGGTTTGCCCGTGGTGCCCTGCTTGGAGTAGCCCTGTCTAGCACTGTTGAAGTCAGTCATGGCTGTTGTCGGCCTTCCTGAACTGGACTCACTGAAGGGCAAAATTCAGCATCCCCCTAGACACAAATTCCTCCCACCATGAGCAGGGATGGGGTTTGAATGGCCTACTGCATCGTGCTTTTACGTGGTCCCACACACCTGCTCTTTTTATCCATCTTTTCTTCCATTTTTCCTACTGTTCACTTGTTTCTTCCCTAAAACCTGGCTTGGTAGGTAGGGGTTTGTGATTTGTGTTCATGTTGTTTATTCTTTTTTATTCTCATTAGTTCATAAGGAGTGCCAAGAGCAGTTTCACATCTACAGAAAACCTGTTCCTGCCTTGCAAGTAGCTTGAAGAACATCAGGGAGATGGTGGCGTGGAAAGGAAGTAACAGAGGTATGTAGACATGTTCTGTGTTTTATTTGCTGACACCATCTGAGGATGAGTGGGCTTATGAAAGAGCCTGGAAAGCCGAGCCTTTGTCGATGAATCATGGGAGGTTGTGTCACCATAAGTGGATGAGGTGGAGAAATGATTGAAGGGTATGTGGTTGAGAAATACTGCTGGAGTGCAGAAGTGGTGGGGACAACACGGGTCTCAACAGAAGAGGAGTAGACTGGGGGAATGCAGTTAGGTTGGGCCTTGAAGTAGGACAGTAGGTGAAAAACAAGTGGAGGGCTGCTAAGGAGTAAGTGACGTGGTCAGGTTTGTGAGAGGTGTTTGATCTTCCTCAGGTTGCAAAGGAGCATTTTATGTTTGGAGTATAGAGAAAAGAACTTTGCAGTAGTTGTGGTAGGGTATACCAAAGAGGCCTAAACAGCAGATTTGCCTATGAAAACGATAAGAGATTGGTCTTGAAGCTGGAGGGGTAGAATGAAGGCCCAGGATCTGTGTGTGACTCATGGGAAAGGGAGGGGGGATAGTGGAAATGGGGTATGTTATTGCTGACAGTAGTGAAGGAGAAAAGGGAAAGTGAAGCTAAACCAACACAACCTTGTACCTCAGCAAGCATAAATTGATGACAAAATCTCCAGGAAGAGATGCCAGGCAGAGGCAGAAAGGTTGATGACAGAGGGGGAAATATGAGAATCACAAGCACAGAAATGCTATCTAAAATCCTTGAGAACTGCCAGACAGAGGGAGGAAAGAGAAGTGAGGGCAGGTCTGTGAACTCAAGCCTGGTATTAAGAAAGGAAAAGAGAATGATGACTCATTGACAGAAATAACACAAGTGAACATTATTTGTAATCGTAGTAAGTACTACTTCTGATAGTAACAGATCTAAGGATCAACAGGAAAGCACTGTAGGGTAGGTTCTGAGAGTTACAAAGGCTGAGGAAGGCAGGTGACCCAGGAAAGAATTTTAAGGACTTGTGAATCCTAGGCCAATGTGTCCTTCATGTCACATCCAGAGCTGTAGAGGCTATTTCCCAGGTTGTCAGCTCCTGCCTTCTGTGTTGCCTTATCCCACATCAGTGACTTACCCACGCCATAATACAGGACCTTAGAAGTCATCTGAAAGTATATGTTAAAACCAGCAAGCTCGTTTAAAGATAGTTTTCACAGGCTTGGGTGAGAAGGCCATGCTTAAGTGACCTATGAGGTTTCTTTGAACATACTAAGGCTGTAATTGATAAAGGAGCAGTTGGTAGGCATGGAAGAGTTGGGTAGTTCAAAACACATGTGAGAGGGCCTCAGGTCAAAGACTGATCATCAAACAGAAACTGTGAGATCCAGAGCAAGACAGCTGCTGAAATGGGAAGCTCTCTTAGAAATACAAATTGAAATATGAAATTCATACATTGTTTTGATGTGGAAAATGAAAGATAACTTTGTGTTTGAAGCTTACCTTGAGGTTTGAGAGAGGAACATATTAGAAAAATAATGTACTTATTAAACAAGGATCGTGACACAACATAACTGCACCGGAAGATACAAAGACTGTTTTGCACTGTAGATTACAGCATGATTTGCATTTGTTTAATTAGTTAGTGGTAGTTGATACCACCAGATAGGCAGTTCCTGATTTATACATAACGAATATTTTAAGTCAGCCCAGCAGGTGCTGTGTATCAGCAAAGTTTTGCTTTAAGCCTGCCATACAGTGACATAAAATTCTGGTTTAGTTAAAAAAAAAAAAAAAAAAAAATCCATAATTGCTAATGTTTGGACTATGGTAGACAAAACACACCAAATAATTTTCAAAGATCTAATTTATGGGTAAAAAGTTTTCACAGAAGTTTGGTTAATCCCAAACTGTATAGTGGTACTTCTACTCCCTTAGTCCTATGGAAAAATAACAATATTACAACTATTTTTTTCTGGTTTATAGTTGACATTTTTAAAGATTCTTTTTGGTTGCAGAATCTGCTTAAGCAGATTTGATATCTTAAGCTATAAGCTTCCATCTTCATGTGCTGGGATGCCGAAGGATCTCCCCTCACTCTGCAAAGAATTCCAAGGCTATAATGGATACATACCCCCCGTGTACGTGAGCTGAATGTACAGATTAGCTTGCCCCAGTCAGCCATAACCCATGTTCAGTCTTTTTGGTTTCAGCATAGCTGTGTGTCTCCTCTATGCTTTTAGACTTAGACACAATACAATAACTTGAAGAGGCAAGACCATGCTTTTGGTCACTCATGCAATGCCATTGACTTCAGTGGAGTTAAAGAATGAATGAAATTAAAGAATGACTAAAAGGTTAGATCCCTTATCAATGAACTGAGCAGTCTTTTCTGTACTTCCCTGATGAGTGTCTTCTCTACATTGGGAAGGGAAGTTAAGCAGGAAAGACTTAATGCGAAGGCCGATGTGTAAGTCCAGGAGTTATCTACTTTTTTTCTGTGATATCTATTGTCATTTTAAGTTATGAAGGCTGAGGAAAGCAGGTGACCCAGGAAAGAGATTTAAGGACATGTAAATCCTAGGCCAGTGGATCTTTCTGGTCACATTCACAACGGTAGAAGCTCTAAGCTTACTAAGTTTTACTTGCTAAAAAGAATTAAACCAACCAGTAGTTCTTGGACACCTCTGTGGGAAGCGTGGAGTTGGTAGGTTGTTCAAATAGTTCACAGTCTGAAAAAGGATTCTGGTGCAGCAGCAGCAAGTGATGTTATTAGAAATTCTTAAATGTATTGGAAAACATTGGCCTTGGAATTACATTTTATCTCCTAAGCTAATTCTCACAACTGGTGAGAGATTTTGATGATCATCCACCTTGAGCTGGGCTGATCAAAACCTGGCACAAGCTGTAGAGTTTAGAAAGGCCTTTCTAAAGGCCTCCTTTGTGGGAGCTTTCAGAGAGGCCAGTTGCACAGCTACTACCCAGGAGAGTATATATGCACTTTTAGCAGTCCTGTTAGAGTCATTGGGTCTACTTATAACCTTAGCTGTTCTTCTAAGTCAACACTTTTAATGATGACAGTGAAAGAATAGCTTTAAGCCATAGATCTATTTTAGTTTCTAAACTACTGTGTAGCAGAAAAACAAAGTGAGTCCTCTTACTAATTTTGTCAGTCGTGTTAGGTCACTCCACTCTCTCCTGTGTTCTGATGACACAGGAAGAGTAAGTCCTTCTTTCACCTCTGTATCTGGTTTCCTGGGATCACCTTTGTTGCCTTATGCTTCAGAGTAATAATACACAATGAAAGGTAGGTTGTCTTTCAGACAGAAGTCTAAATTATGTCTGCAAAGAAAAAAATAGCTTGTGGGTTCACTTGCTATTCATTTGTTAATCCCCCTGCTCTCTGCTTACTGCTTTAGCTAAGAACTGCAGTGATTTCTAATCTAACTCCCAAGGAGCTTTCTTCTCAGTGTGGGAGATGACTGAGTGTATATTCCCTAATATTCCTAAATTTAGTAACTTGTAACTTTGGAGTGATTTTTTTTTCCTATGAAGACATTTTACCGCTTATGGAAGATGCTGGATTAACAGATCAAAATCACAGACTGTTGTATAGGCACAGAAAGCGCATAGGGAAGCTTTGTTGTAGGTTTTGAGGCTTCACTAGTATACCAAGATTATCTCATTCTGCACACCACTTTAGCCTTTCATTTACTGAGGTTTCTAGTGAGGATACCAACAAAGGTGACAACTAATGAACCATTCACTCCTGAAATTTAAACCTAGGTCTGAATTCATCATCCAGTTTATATTCAAAGAAAAGGGTTATTATGTAAAACTTGTTGCTCAATCCTAACAAATGCAACAGCATAAAGAGGGAAAAGAGATGTTCGGAGAACCTGTGACTTTGCGTGCAACTGGGGAGCACATCCAAAATGTTTTAAAGCTGGAGGAAGGTGAGAGGGAGAGCCCTATTTGTAACAGTTACAATCTCAAAACAAAAGGCAGCTACCTCTGGAACACCACTTTTGCAATGCTTGAATGCTAGAATTCAGCCTGTGCTCTCTTGTATCAAATTCATGACAACAGTATTTCAGTGCAGTTCTTTATCAGTTTTAGATTACATCATGCTGTGAATTGCTCTATCTGTTAATATTGATTCACGTAAATCATTTGGTTTGAGGTCTTCAAATGGGAAGTTGAGGTGCATTTCAGTGTACAATGTACTCATTTTGTCCTTGAAAATCATTTAGAAAAAAAAGCAAGCTGCAGTTGCATAGATTATATTACTTTTCTGAAAGGTTAGATTTACCCCTTAGAACTGTCAATAGTGGGACAAAAGCCTTCCATTGAAAGAATGAGAATAGAGGAGAAAATTGTTGGTGCTTAAAGTTGATTGAGGGAGTCACAGAAGTGCTGCAGGTCTCAAGGGCCGTGTAGCCCAAAGCCTGATTCAAAGAAGTCATGCTGTTTTTAATGAGAGCAGCTACAGCAGCAGAAGTGATAACTGAATTCTAGTTCCTGAACTTTAATCTAGACCTAGCTAGGGTTTTTTTTCTTAATTACCTAAGTTTTGCTTGAATATCTCCTTCATTTTTATGTATGTTCTTCAACTGTTGCATGGCTTTGCTGTGAGCTGAGAAACATTTACTATGCTCTGTCTGCTGGGCTGCATTTTGTTCTCCATCCATTTGCACTGGGCTAACATTTGTGAGTGAAGGTTCTTTTTGTTTTGCAAATCCTTTAGGATCCCTCAGAAAGAGTGCTGGTGTAGAAATATCAGTGTTACACAGATGCATATCAAACTGTGATAAATGGAAGTTGCACTGGAAAAAAAATGGAAGTAATATTGTTGTATGTTAGTGATTATCATTGGTCTTTACTCCACTAAGAAGCTCCCACCTGAATATGCTTGGTTTTGCTGAAATTTTATGTGAGTTGGAGCTGAGTAAATGTGATGACTAGATTGGTGCACCTGAGCAAGGCAAGGTGTTGGCAGAATTGTTTTGCTGCGTGCTAAAGGACTATGAAGGTTTCTTGTAGGGAAACTGCCTTTCCTGTACAGAAAGAAAAGATTGCTCCTTCCTGGCAAGAGGGACAGTAAGCACTACAAACAGCTGTTGAGCTGTCTGTCTTACACCCAGCACCTGCTTGAATCCAGCATGTAGCTGGTCTGGGTCCTGCTTCTCTTGGAGTACGTACACTGATCTGAAACAGTGTGAGTTTTTGGACCTACAGAAATGGTATTCTAGTCAAGGCTGTAGTAAAAGTGTCAGGATTTCTCTTTGACAAGGCATTCCCCAAAACAGAAATAATTGTTCCTCAAGAAATTATGGGGCTAAATCACAGAAAAATCTACTGTAAGTAACTGAAATTAGGCATACAGCTTGGTTAATGTACCACTTTGTTACAATCTAGTTATAGGAAGGGTATAGCTTTGTCTCTTGTCACCTTCCTGCTGACCTAGGTGTGATCTAGCACAACAAGCAGCTGCTGACAAGGAAAATTCAATTTAGACTGTTGGAAGATTCATGTCAACACATAACAAAATAACATGCTTAGGGAAGCTGCTAAATACATGTTACTATGAGCTAATTGCAGTCATTCTGAAGGCTGTAAATCTGCGTTTGTAAGAAGGTGAAGGAGCACACACAGCTCTGACCTATTTAACTCCTACCATGTACTCTAGAGTTTCAGAAATGACTAATGATTTGGCTTTATTTTATTAGATTATTTGTTTGGGGGAGTCCTAAAATGACCTTGACTTTCTGAGAATGACCAAGTCAGCTTTTTTTCTGAAAACAAAGCTTTACTAATGCTGTCACTATGTTTTTAAAATCTCAGCCAATCTGCAGGTGCATGAACGTAGCAACAGACACAAACACATAGATCAGACATATGCATTTCACATATACTACATACAGAATACAGAGCAGGAGGTGCTAGTCGTTTCTTGAACAAGGCATGCAGTTCTCAGCACCTCAAGTATCTCTTTTTCATTTAAGCACATAAAAAAATAATTAAAACATTTCCTACAAAAAATAATTAGAACTTTTCTTTCTTTTATTTTTTTAACTGAAATGAGAACTTTATTCTTGTTGAATGATTCACTTTCCACAGCTGTTATTACTTCTCCAGCCTACTCTGAGTTTGCACTAGTGACTGAAATGTTCCCAGACAAGCAGATGGGAAAATAGCCTGTAAATCATTATTGTTATAAATGGTTTGTAAAACTTTGGATGTTGAGAGGTAAGAGTAGTTCAAATAAGTCTCAATAATGCTGACTCAAAGGTTTAAAGCATTGCTTAAATCCCTTGATTAACCCAGCTTCTCAATATTTGACATGAATCAGTAACTCTTTGGCATTCTCTAGCTTTGTAAATATTTATGCAGCCAGTCCCATGAAATATGACATTTAATCCTGTTGAAGTAATTATTTGTATGCTCCATGTAAAGAGATATAAAGTATAATAGTTCCAGTGATGCTAGTTTAATAATTACTACTAAGGATTAAATCTGCTATCTTTCTTTTGTCAATAACCAGGACTTATGCAATGTAAGTGTGAATGAATGGAATCCGCTTTCTGATGCAAATCTTGGGCCAGGTGCTGGGAACTCAGATTTCCTGATCCTGGCTTGTGCCTGGGCCTGTGGCTCAATAGTAACAGCAGCCTTTTGTTCCAGTTAAATGAGGTGTTGAGTGCTACATCCAGGCAAGTAGTGAAAGAATGGCACCTCTATTAGCTTGTCCTCAGCCTTCCATTTCCGAGATACAATGAATGGTCTATGCTCTCCAGGGAACTGGAAGATGCTCTACCCAGAGTTTCCAGGACCTGGGAAAGCCTTCTGTACAAAAGTGTACCTGCCCTCCAGATTGTGGCTGGGAATGCTGCTAACATATAGGATTTGCAGCACGTTTGTATTTAAACGGTTTAGCTTAAGAAGCACAGTAATATGCTTGTTCCTCAGACACTGAGCTTTTAGTCATTGTTTACTGGTTCAGTCTGATTCATCTGTGGATTCTGCCAGGTTTTGCAGTTGTACTTCTTGCCTCTAGGTATTCCAGAAATAGAAGGGGTTGGGAATAATGAGGAAGCAGAGAAAGATTGAAGTAGCACAAGATGTTTAGAGTTGGCCAAGAAGAAATCGTAAGTGTATCTTACTTCAGATATGTTCTGTTCTCTTCCACAACTAGACTTTTCTGTGCTTTTGCGTGGATTCCTACCCTATAAGAGAGCCCCCAATAGCACGTTTATTGTCTTTCCTGCAAAGATGTGAGAGAAAAGGGGTGCAGAGCTCTCAAAACCACAATAAAGGCCTTCTTTCTATGGAATTTTTCAGACCGCAGTAAAATCTGAAATACACTTCTACAGGTTCCTTTAAAATTACTCTCTAGCTCATAGGCATCCTGCCTGTTAAAAAGCAGAGAAAAAGATTGCATTCTCTGTTATATATTTAGAAGTATTTTAGCTTCTTATTTGCTTTATCAGGCCAAAGCCCTTAAGAACCTTCAGGATATGACAAGTCTCTATTCAGAAGTACTACAGTGGTGCTGTGCTTCTGTAGCCCAGTTTGATCACTGTGTAATCCAGGCAGAGAGATGTATTCTGAAAAGGACAGTGCACCACAGAAAAGGTGATGTGGGAGGTCAATGAAAGTACTGTCAGTTTTCCTGAATGTATGCTTAGGAGGCGGTTTTCCTATATATCCACAAATACATATAATTCTAGTTAGGAAGAAATCCAGATGATTGCATTTGGATTGATAACGGATTCTTCCTCAGCTTTGTTTCAGTGTTATGTTATATTGCCTGTCTTACTATTTCTCCCCTCCCCAATCTAAAACTGAGGAGGATCAGTGTATGGATGATAACAGTGTATGGATGATAACTTCCTCCTGCAAATGGTGGATGAGCCAACCAGGAGAGGAGCGCTGCTGGATCTCATCCTCACTAACAAGGAGGGTCTGGTCGAAGCAGTAAGGGTTGAGGGCTGCCTTGGTTGCAGCGACCACGAGATGGTGGAATTCAGGATCTTGTGTGGTAGGACCAGTAGAATAGCAAGTAGAATTGCAACCCTGGACTTTAGCAGGGCAAACTTTGGCCTTTTCAAGCAATTGCTAGGGGAAATCCCATGGGCAAGGCTGTTTGAAGATAAAGGGGCCCAAGATGGTTGGCATTCAAGGATTGCTTTTTCCGTGCTCAAGATCGGAGCATCCCGACACGTAGGAAGTCAAGGAAGAGGGCCAAGAGACCTGTGTGGCTAAATAGGGAAATGCTGGGTATGCTCAAGTGGAAGAGGAGAGTTTACAGGTCATGGAAGGAGGGGCTGGCCACTTGGGAGGAATATAAGGCTGCTGCTAGAGGATGTAGGAAGGCAGCTAGGAGGACTAAGGCCTCCTTAGAATTAAACCTGGCGAGAAGGGTCAAGGACAGCAAAAAGAGCTTTTTCAAATACATGGCAGACAAAACTAACACCAGAGGCAATGTAGGCCCACTGATGAACGGGATGGGTGCCCTGGTGACAGAAGATACAGAGATGGCAGAGTTACTGAATGCCTTCTTTGTCTCTGTCTACTCTGCTGCAGGCAGTCCTGAAGAGCCTTGTACCCCTGAGACCTTAGATGAAGTCAGGTCGACGGAGCCACTTGCCTTAGTCGATGAGGAATGGGTTAGAGACGAGTTGAGCAATCTGGACATCCATAAATCCATGGGTCCAGATGGGATGCACCCGCGGGTGCTGAGGGAACTGGCAGAAGTCATTGCTAGACCACTCTCCATCATCTTTACCAAGTCTTGGGAAACGGGAGAGGTGCCTGAGGACTGGAGGAAAGCAAATGTCACTCCAGTCTTCAAAAAGGGCAAGAAGGAGGACCCGGGTAACTATAGACCGGTCAGCCTCACCTCCATCCCTGGGAAAGTGATGGAACACCTTATCCTTGGTGCCATCTTAAGGCATATCAAGGATAAGAGGGTTATGAGGGGCAGTCAACATGACTTCACCAAGGGGAAATCATGCTTGATCAATCTCTTAGCCTTTTATGAGGAAATAACATGGTGGATGGATGATGGCAGAGAGGTGGATGTGGTCTACCTTGACTTCAGCAAAGCATTTGACACAGTCTCCCACAGCATCCTCACGGCTAAATTGAGGAAGTGTGGTCTGGATGATCAGGTAGTGAGGTGGACTGTGAACTGGCTGAAGGAGAGAAGCCAGAGAGTTGTAGTCTATGGGGCGGAGTCTAGTTGGAGGCCTGTAACTAGTGGAGTGCCTCAAGGGTCAGTACTGGGACCGGTATTATTTAATATATTCATCAACGATTTAGATGAGGGAATTGAGTGTACTATCAGCAAGTTTGCTGATGACATTAAGCTGGGAGGACTGGCTGACACGCCAGAAGGCTGTGCTGCCATCCAGTGAGACCTGGACAGGCTGGAGAGTTGGGCAGGGAATAACTTGATGAAATATAACAAGGGGAAGTGTAGAGTCCTGCATCTGGGCAGGAACAACCCCAGGTTCCAGTACAGGTTGGGGAACGACCTGTTAGAGAGCAGTGTAGGGGAGAGGGACCTGGGGGTCCTAGTGGATGACAGGATGACCATGAGCCAACACTGTGCCCTTGTGGCCAAGAAGGCCAATGGCATCCTGGGGTGTATTAGAAGGGGGGTGGTTAGTAGGTCAAGAGAGGTCCTCCTTCCCCTCTACTCTGCCCTGGTGAGACCGCATCTGGAATATTGTGTCCAGTTCTGGGCCCCTCAGTTCAAGAAGGACAGGGACCTGATGGAGAGGGTCCAGCGCAGGGTAACGAAGATGATTAAGGGAGTGGAACATCTCCCTTATGAGGAAAGACTGAGGGAGCTGGGTCTCTATAGTTTAGAGAAGAGGAGACTGAGGGGTGACCTTATTAGTGTATATAAATATATAAAGGGGGAGTGTCACAAGGATGGAGCCAGGCTCTACTCAGTGGCAAACAATGATAGGACAAGGGGTAATGGGTACAAACTGGAACACAAGAGGTTCCACTTAAACTTGAGAAGAAACTTCTTCTCAGTGAGGGTGACGGAACACTGGAACAGGCTGCCCAGGGAGGTTGTGGAGTCTCCTTCCCTGGAGACATTCAAAACCCGCCTGGACACATTCCTGTGTAACATTATCTAGGTGTTCCTGCTCCGGCAGGGGGATTGGACTAGATGATCTTTTGAGGTCCCTTCCAATCTCTAGCATACTGTGATACTGTGATACTGTGATCTGCAGAACGTTGCTTTTATTTAGGGATGTACTTCGATGTACTTTGGAAGGAGAAAAAAAAAGTTTTCATTTTCAGCCACACCTGTTTGAAGGCCTAAGAGATTTGAAGAGGATTTGGTCCAGTTAGAAATCAGGCTAGAGATGATATATCAAAATATGAATTAGAATTTTCAGAGCTAAAAATATAAAACAAGTCATCTTGGTTAAGAAGAAGTAAAATCTTTTAACTCACTCTGAGCAATTAATGTTAGTCTTTTGATAGCAAGTTAACAAGTACATAGAAAACAATGGGACAGATTAATAGAGGAGCCTTATGTAGACACTTGCTCAATCACCCAAAGTTCCTAAAGGTTCAGCTGCAAGTCTGGAAATGTAAGCGCTGGTGTCTAAAATAGAAGACATGGAAATAGATGTTGATTTTGATTTTCCTTCTCTTTCTACATTGTGTGGTTTACCACAGAAAGAAAAAAAAACCAAACAAATAAAGCCCCCAGGTAATGGTTGTGGTTCTGGAGGGCTTGAAGGGCGTATGCCTTCACTCACCACAAAGCAAATACATAATAAAGGATATGTGGCTTCAGCTACAAAACATGCATGCAGGAATCACTACATACATAGCAGCTGTAAGGATTAAGTGAACAGATAATTCTTTTCCATATCTCTTTTTAATAATAATTATTTGTACTTAAAAGAAGGAATAATATTTCATCATCCACATCTGAGGAATAGCGAGTTTTGGTTTTTTTTTGATACACAGCAGCACTCAGAATTCTTACTGCAGAAAAAAAGGCCACAGAGCAGACAAGGTGAAATGACAGATTCAGGTAAAACATGAGCAGCCAGATCCCAACAAGCAAGTTCAGTGCGTTGACAATCTTCCTGCTCTTCCCTAGGGACTAAGCAGAACCATTCAAGAAGGAGCAGATGGAAACAGTTGCCAGCAGATGAGTACTGGAAAAGATTCAAGCCACAGTACTTGCTGGAACTTGGGAGTTTGTGATGGCCTGAGCTAACCCAATGACAGGTATCTAAGATTTGAAACCAGACAGCTACTCAGTTCTTAGCTATGAGGGCAAAAAACCTGTTGTGGAACAAAAGCCATGTCCAGGCCATTCTCTGAACAAGCTACCAGAACTTGTTTCTCAGAGAAGTCCTATGGTGAGAGGAATCTTTAAGCTGTGGTTGTTCATAGTGCTAAAGATAAAAGAGAACTGCTAGTGTATTTTTGTGAATGTGTCTGCCCCATAATTCGTTCACTCAAAGTAGTGGTTTCTTTTGACCTTGAGCTAAGATTTAACAGGTGGGGAAAAGATAAATTTAGGAAATCCAGTGATGCAATGCTGATACTTTTATGACTTCTTGCATATTTTCTAGCATACCATGAAGAATATTAAATGGCAAAAGCTGAAGTGTCCTTGGCAAACAAACAAACAAAATAGTACCCTGCGATTTTTTTACCTTTGATTCCCCTCACCACATGCACTTTTTACTCCCACGGAGCTTGAAATATTAACCCAGCATGTTAATTTATTTCTTCCAGATCTGGTCTGGCCATTGGCTTTAACATCTCTCTTGGAAGTACTTGAAACTAAATGGCTGGCCCTATCTCTAGCTTTGTTAATTAGGCACATTACTTTGTTGCTTTTCTCATATCGTTTCATGTAATTGGCATTTGTGGAGCTTTTGAAAGGCATGTTTGGGGCTACATTTTGTGCAGCTGGCTTTAAACTGCAGGCTGCTTCAAGTGTCTAGTTCTGTAGAGGACAGCCTTTGAGATCACAAAGCATGTGTGCCCAGCACATACTGTGCTTCTCCTCCAAAAGGAATGAAGTGACCAGTACAAGACATGTTCCTCCCTGCATACATTTGTGTTTCTATGGTATTGTATCTGTAATATGAGCATTACGTGCCCTGTTTGAAGAACAGTACTCCCTCTACTAACTGTTGTATAATGCTTTACTATAAGATAGTCTTCATCCTAACCCACTTTAGGCAATGTATAACTTATACAGGCACAAAAGCCTGTGGGATTTTTCATGTAGAAGCACATCTTTGTAAGCCAGGAATTTGGACTTGCTGTGCTAATTCCAACAGATAATTGTACCAATATTGTGTCACCAGCCAATAAGAATGATGAATTTACACTAAGTAGGAATTCAACTCTTTCATTTCAGTTGTCTTGGTGTGAAATGATACTCTGTACCTGAATGGAGGAAGGCATGGATATAAAAGTTTAGGGAAAAAAGAAACCAACAACCCATACATACACACTAAAGGAATTATGCTGCCCTCCAGTGGTCTGGAAAAAAAAACCCATACATATTGCTTATTGATTGCAATAATGTAGTTTCCACTTACACTGCAGCGAGTAGCAATAAAATGTACCTCTTGATTTCATAGGCACATGGATTGTCTAGGCTTCAGCTTCAGGAAACCCACAGGTGGCATAAGACCAAGTAAAGACATTTGTAACAAAGGGGTATTGCTTTACCAGTACAGGCCCAGGGACTCTTTTCTGCAAGCAACTGACTAAAAATAAACTCTTGAAAATGGCAGGATTGTACTAGTCTGCCTCACCGTGACAGTAGAAACCCCTGACTTGAAAACGAATCACATGTAAGAAAATGGCCATGATTTACATTAATGGGTCTTGCAGGACATTTGTTCCAAAATGTGATGAATTGTCAGTGAAAAACATGGCCTGGCCCAACACTCAGTCAGCCACAGAGTTCTGCACACAGTGGCTGTCACTGAAACATGAGGATCCTTCTGTCCTCACAGAGCATGAATCCCAACCCACAGATAAAATAAGTTCTCCAGGTTTCGTCTTTCAGTCAGTCAAGTACATTTGTTTTACGAGTCAGAAGTACAGCATCAATTTGAAAGAAAGGAATGTTTTATGGCCAAACTATAAGGTAGATAATCTTTAGGTATATTGCCTCTATGCTTGCTTACCTTTCCTTTGTGTGCCTCCAAATGGTCTTGCCAAATATGCAAGACTGTTTCTCAGCTTATTCTTTCTACACCTGCATGCTAGGTGGGGGTTACCTTGCATGCCACGATGATTTACACCATACTGAGGGACTTGGCCACCAGAGAATCGCATAATAGTTCCACTGTCATCATCTGTTCCTCTGCATCTGTGCCACCTGCCTTCTACTAAGCAACTCATCTCCCCTAGGACCATTGCTCACAGCACAGGTCATACAACGCCTTCAAAGACCGTATACTTTCTCTCACCTTTTGTCTTTCTTTTTTACTTAAAGCAAAGAAAAATAAAGTGGTACCCCCAAATTTTTGCAGTAATAAAAAAATCCCATACTATTCCTACAATTTTCAATCTGTTTCTGTAAAAGGCTCTTGGTGGGGAAGAGCTTGGCTTTTCCCTCATATTTTTCCTACTGTTCCTAGTGTATGGGGCTTTAGGTGCTGCCTGAAGACCGTGAATATTTTTGCTGTTTCCCCATCTACAGATTTTCCATAATAGAAAGATGAAAATACGAAACATTGAATTCACCAGGAATTTCAGAGAGAACTGCAATTTTCGTTTTATCCAGCAGATGTTGCTGTTGGACCAAAAAACCGTCTCAAGGTCAGTTCAACTGATTTAGGGAGGTCAGTTTTTCAGAGGATTTCAGCAGTTCCATGATTTTAGTCAGCATCTCCAGATCTGGTCCCTTGATCTTGTCCCTTCTACAACCACGGACATGCAGCACTAGGTGACTGTGCTGAGACACACGCCTCTGAGTGAATGTGACTCCAAGCAAAAAAACAACACCCCAACCACAATTCCGGTCTCCTCAATCTTCTCATTAAGTGGATTATTGTCTGTCAGAGCTTTTAATATCTTTTTTTAATAAATAGTGGAAAGCTTCACCTCATATGCAGTATTTGCTTCCCTATTGATGAATGTGGGGTTATTCTTTGAGTCTTACATAAAATACCACTCTTGTAAGATGCATATAGAAGATAAAATTTATTGAGGTTTTAGAAAGGAAATGTGAGTTCAATGCCATGCTGACTGTATTACTGGGAAAACCTGGAGGTTTTCTATTGCCCTTTGGTTACAGGATAGATCAGTTTTTACTATTAAACTTACAATTTTAAGGTCTTTATTCACAAGTGCCTCTGTAGGTGAAAGGTAGATTTCTGGGCTGGCAGGGAAGATTCTGGGTTCCTTCTACTGGCCCAAATGGCTTTATGCCAGACGTGTTCCCAATTCCTGGAGGGACCTGGGTGAGAAAGGACTATCTGGAGGCTCTTCTATAATACTAGGGACTGTCCTCTCCTTCATTAGCCCTGAAATCTCAAACATTGAAAGGAGACACATTGGTCTCCACTTCATGACATTCCCAGTTGTGGAACAGACCTTTTGAGAAGGGAGCATGTTACATAGATCAAGGAGAAAAAGTCATGACTGTTCAACAGTTTTACTGGAAAGCAAGTGATTTGAAAGGCTGAGAGAGGGCAAGCTGAGAAGCATTAGTAAATAGTGTTAATGAGGTACTCTGGTATGCCTCATGAGATGATCTCTGGGACGTTTCGCATGTATGCCTATTAGCTCCATCCCCCACTCACAAACACTGAATGTAGATCGTGTTGTCAAAGATTTGCACTCTGACTGTAAGAAGACCATTTTACCCACTGTTGGCAAAGCCAAGATTGCCATATGCAAGTTATGCACAATGACCTTCATACCATCTCCTCCTGCCACAGGCTCCGTGTCAGACACGTATCTTGGAAATGTTGTACACTTTCAGAGTTATTACGGGGATAGTTCCTGGTTTGTATTTTTGAGATCAGGTTAGCACTAAAGCCTGCAAGCTTATTGAGAGTCATTGTGCTCAGGGGATCAGCATATCCAAAGGCTGTGATAGTAATGGGTCAGTGAGCAGAGCATAAGCAAAGGGGCACAGCAAGGAGTTTGTCATGGCTTTGTAGTGCTACGTGAACGCTATCCCAGACAGTATTACATGCAGTACCTTGAAACTATTCCCACTGAAGTTGGAAGTTTTGCCACTGATTTCAAGGAACAAATTAAAAATTGTTAACAAAAGGGAAATATTAATTTCTTCTCTATAACATTCAGGTGGTATTAAATACAAATGCTTGCTTGTCCACTTTTGGATGTAGTTCTGCAGATAGTACCATTTTTATGAGCAAAATAAGCCCTTTGCACAGTTTGACCCTTTCAAATGTCTCTGCAAGATACCAACTGTAAAATGGAAATTATTTTTCTTTTCCCTTTCAGTGTTTTTTTTTTATCTTGTGTATAAAAGAGCAGCATCTGGTGCAAAGCAACTGGCAGCTTAATATCTTCAATATATTTAGATACAGGGGTGAAAATTTTTAAGAGGAAAAAGTATACCAAGAATAGTTCCTATGTTTCTCTTACCTAAAATTGAAGTTTCAGTATGTGAAAAAATCCTGTAACAGCTTCAATGATAATGTGGAAAATGGTGTATAACGTTATTTTTAAGAAACAGCAATTTGCACTTTTTTGTTGTGAAATACTGAAAGTGAAGAAAGGTTCCTCTTCATTCTCATATTTGCAAATGACCTGTTGAAATTTAAAATCAAAGTACTTAGCATATATAAGTGAGGTATAAATCTATTCCTCTTCACTTTTTCCATAGCAATACTTTGAATAAGATAAACTGATGATACTGGATTTGTTATGCAGCCCCAGTAGGGCTTTCTTAAGTTACCAAATAAAATCAAACCAAATTCCTAAGATACACACTTATCTTCATGCTCAAAGACAGCTACTTTTCTTTTTTTCTTTCCTCATAGCTGTATGACTATTCCCTTTGGAAGTAGTGTTCCATAGGAAACATCAGACAATCCTAACACTGTTAGTGTAAAGCTCCAAGCCCATGCTGAGGCAGCCTCTGTATTGTCCTGCCAAGGCAGCTCGGGGAAAGGACCAGTCTGGTTTGCAGAAACCCCCAGCTTCTCCCAGGCTCTGCATGTCAGTGCAATCTGTGGGATTCACTTTTTTTTTAAATCAGGTGGTGTTTCTTTAGGTGCAGAATACTGAACTAGAGCCTGTGCGGTACAAACTGATGATTTCAGGCTATTGGTGTATGTTTGTAGCTCACGCTGCAGTGCTTCTGTAGACCAAGCTGGACTGCAGTTTGTCTTGTAGGACCAGCCCTAAATACCTAAACACATCTTCAGGAGCCAAATTTAAGAACCAAAGTTTGCAAATGTTGTATCAGTCTTGTGTCTGTTCCTAAGCTCTGCTTATGTTCTCTACCACTGTTGGAATTAAACTAAAGCTTTGAACCAAAATATTTCGAAATATTTGCCCATAGACTGGGATATACTTTTGTCAGTAACATGCCGTCCTCTTGATACACAGGGGAGTAGAATAACTCCAGGCATTTGTTTTAAATATATTACCTTAGAAATAGACAGGAAGAAATTGCACAGGGAACGTTTTTTTTGTTATTTAAGTTAAAAAATAAATACCGTTGTAACTTAAACGTGTATTTATCAGCAGAGACGCTCTTTGGCCTTACTCCAGCGGACTTTTCTCACTGACATGAGTGGGGAAAAGGTGGGATCTGCATAGGAAATCTGTGAATATTTTTTCTTCTTCATCCATCCATCTATTTTGGGATGTGCTAAATGCTTGTTCTCTGTTGTAACATTAACATCAGTATGTGGAAACTTGGGTTGCTAAAATAAATCAGTGAAATGCAATATACATGACTTCACGCAGAACTGCATGTACATGGTTGAGTGCAAGCGCCCCATGTCCACTCTGCCGTGTCAGCTTTACAGCCAGGTACAGCCAGAGTCTGGGGATGGCAAGGTCTGTAGTATTTCACAAGAGCATCTTTTAATCTTTCACATTGTAGGCCTGAGTGTGTGCTGGAGGCAGTGAAAATTTTACTGTTGATGTACAAGATACTGATTTGTGAAGCGACTGTGTCTCTTTAGTTTTTGTAAGTTAGTGATATAGGCTTCAAACTAACCCGGGGCATTTTTTTAACTGTAATAGAGACCCTCCAGATTCATTCTAGTATGAATTAACACATTCTTAAGTTCATTTAAATTTTGTTTTTAATGAAGAAAATGAAAGGGGTAAGCTAGATCTTTATAGGCTGGACTGTTTTCTGCCCACACTGAAATCAATGGGAGACCATTAGAAAGTTGGACTTCAATGAAGATGTTGAGGGGCCACTCCTGCCTCAGAGTCCCCTCCAATCCATGGAAGCCTGGCCTGCTCCACGGAGTGTACTTGTGCCTCGACACTGACTCACCATCCACCATGGTCACAAGAACTCAGATGAGGACTGAATCCCCCTGGCTGCTACCTGCCCTGCCCCTCTGGCTTTGGATGAGACAGCAGGCTCAGAACATGCCTCTGCCTCAGGAGGAAGGAGAAACAAGTGTAGTGTTGCTCTCCTCATGACACAAAGCCACTCACTCTTCTCCATGCAGCATTGACCTTTAAGGCCCCCACAACTAAAGGAGTGGGAGACATTCCCATGGAATTAGCTGTTCCCCCTTTCTTTTTCCTGCTTAAGAGGTAAGAGCTGCACAAATTCCTTCTTTAATAGTCACCTAAGAGAGAATACAATGACTGATCTGTCATCAGATATTTAGAGCTGATGACAATAGCAAAGTTGGCTTTCAGGGTGTTGTGGGTTTTATTTTTTATTTGTTTGCTTGATTTTTTTTTTTGGTGGGTTTTTTGTTTTTTTACTGTGATGTTTAAACAAAGCCGTAAATCGCAGGCATATGGATTGCTTGACTGTGGCTGCAACTGCTGGTTAAACTTGTCCAGATGTACAGAAATGCCTGATAGTTACTTACCAATGACACTCTGCTCAGGGCTTAACATTTTTCAGTTTCATGGCAAGCTCGCAAGGTTACACACATACACTGAATGAAACATAGCCCACTGGTTATTTTTAGAGAGGCTCTAAACAAGAAGTAAATCCCTGGAGTAGTGCTGCCAGCAATGTGTAAAGTTCAAATCCAAATTAAAACTGCCTATCTTTGGCCTAAATTCCAACCTGAACTTGAGGAAAACTCTGATCTGTCCCTTGAACTTTATGACAAAAAAATCCTTTGCAATTAGTTTCTAATACCTGAGAATATACGATTGTGGTAAAAACACTTGAAAATTAGAACTTCAGTGAAAAATCTGAATTTTTGTCCCAGAATGTTGTACCTGGTCTTGTGAGATACTGTTGTATGACTTTAAGTTTTGGTAGCTGCACTGGAATTTGGAGAGCCTAATTTATTGTGATTCTTAGTTCTAACACATCTTCGTAAGATCGTTCTACAGTGTAATTGCAAACTCTGGGGGGAGAAAAAGAAACGTGTTTATTTACCTTACAGATCTCCTTAAGGTGATGTGCAAGACTCAGTTTACAAATCACTAGGATATAACATGAAGAAAGTAGACCCCTTTTCAGCAACTTATTTATGCAAAGTAGCTGAAAGTAGTGCAACTGAAGCATGTTCTTGGTTTCTTTGCTGAATCAGAGCTCATATCTTCTTCCTGCCAAGGCAGTGATCTTAGTATCACTCCTAAATGCACAAGTAATTCCAGAAGCCCTAATGAAAGTCAAGATAACACCACAGATTTTATAAATAAGGGTCTTTATTTAGAATACTGTTGGAAACATTCTTGGCAACCACATTGTATAAATATATAAAGTTTGACACAACAAACCAAGCAATATTAAATATTTTTTCCCTTTTTTTTCATTTTTGCTTTTTTTTTCCTCCCCCCCTTTTTTTTTGCAAAGCAACTCTTATTTACAATTATACAAAAGAATTTTATAAAAAATGGTCCACAACCTTATTTTGGCCAGAAGAGGAGTAATAGGAAGGATCTGTCATGCCACTACTGTTATATTCTCCTCCACATTCAAGAACCAGATTCCTATTCCCCAAAGCCCAGATTAAACATTGGCCATTTCATGGTATACAATTTCATCTCTAGACATATTAAATAACTTTTGTTTAACAACCAATAAATAACTATATGTGTATTTTGAAGTAATATAGGTTTGAAAAGTTATATATTTGAAGGAATTTTGAGTGGTATTCTAAAACTGGAAAAAGTCTTAAGTCTTTTCAGTCTTAGGTCACGGAGTGTGGCTGAGTGGAGCAATGCGTTTTCGGCGCAGTCCATTGGACCTGCCTTTATAACACTTGGTAGATAGGGTTGCTGCTGCTGTTATCCTGGGGAAGTGGGGTGCAGTTGGTGGGAGAAGGAATCTGGGCTCCTCTGTCATTCAGGCTTGCTCCTTCTGGGGGGGAACAGGGACTCCCTTCAGCAACAGTTTCCACTGGAGGCAGTATAGGACATGCGGAGTTATCTGTGGAAATCCTCTCTACAATGCTCGAGAGGCAATCAAGGCTGGAAACAACAGAACTCTTCCCATGCTTTGGATCTAAAAAACAAGCAAAAAAGGTGCTCAGTTTATCCAATGTGTACTTAACATCAGTAGGATGTAGTTCTTTCATAAACCCCCAGTGACTGGCTGACAGTATGCATCTATGGCCATGTAAAGATTCAGAGGAAATTAATATTGGGGAAGGAAACCAGTTATTAGAAAATAAGAGATGGTAACTGCAAAATGGAAGAAAGATCCAACCGAAGTGATACTTTTGGGGCAGGATGGATCCAGGGCTTCACTTAAGTCCATAGAAAGGGAAGGTAACATTTGGAATCAATTGCCAATTTCTCCAGTTTGGATCAATGATAGGTAGAGTTAGAAGAGTCTTCATGCAACACATTGTTAAACACTTAAAATTAACTGCAGGGAAGAATATACTTGCATCCAGATATTATATTTGCAAAACAGGAAATGCAGCTATAACATACTCCCATATTTGCAAATACATCTAGAGGAAATCCAATGCTTCTACTAGCATCAACAGCTTGCTGGCTAAAAAGACAGTTTCCTCTTTCAGCCCAGGGGAGGTCAGCTAAATGACTGGAGGCAGAGAAAGCATGGATGCATTGACTGCCTGTCTCCATGTTCTGTGCAGCCGTTACAGCATGTACTCACCATTTGGTGATTCTGTGTAGTAGCTGCTGTCATAGCTGTTTCTTCTGCGGGAGTTGCAAGGAGGCCCGCTGTACTCCATCTGGAAAGGAGAGCAACCTGGGTGAGGTCACTGCCTGGGGACAGCCTGTATTGAAATCCCAGTAACCATCCCATTTTGCCTTTCAGCCCCTAGTCTGTGCCATCACTCCAGTCCTGGCTTAAATGCCATCAAGTTGTAGTTTTTTTGAATAGGCAAAACTTGGCTAAAAGGGGATTCACCCCAGAATACTTAATGTGGCACAGCTGTAGGAAAATTACCACTGCTGTTGCATCAAATGCTGTAGCTTTATAAATAAGATGAGGTTTTCCAGCATTCTGATCAGATACTGCCCTACAGGTATCTTCAACTTACAACAGGGAGACCAACTGGGGAATGAGTCTTTTTTTCATTTAATTTTTTTAAGGTTTTTCCAAGCATAAGTTAAAAAGGCTCTGTCTACCTTTGTCACTTTATATTTCTTCAGTTTCTTTTTCCACTTCCATTTCATACAGAACAAGCATCAAAACATTGACCAATATATTTGTTTCCAATACTTTAATCCACAGTTAAATTTCTGTTTCTGACAAAATAAAAAGGCTGTATTTTGAAGAGGGATCCTATCCATAAGTGTTCTCTCCAATCTGCCAACTATCTCATAATGGGAGATATTCAACTCAGTAATGATGATCACCACCAGAGCACAGAAAAAGAAAATAAGTCTCAGGTCTTAAAGTGCTGTCAATATTCTACCTCAGAAGCTCTTCTGCACTCCAGGCACTACATCCCACCACCCCAGAGTCTGAGCCTATAGTCGCAGCGAGAAGATGTGGCGATGAGACACCTTATATGGCACCCACCCTTCCTCTTCTCTCCCCGTAACATACAAACGTAACTGAAAGCCTGGGCTCTCCTTCCTGTTTCTGGTAAATGTCAATGGAGGGGATGAAGTGAGAGGAGAACTTTTTTTTTTTGTAAGGGTCAAGAAAAACAACTCTGGCTGGTTTACACCCTCCTCCTGTTATCATGATGAATGGCAGAAAACAACTCCAGCACTTATCAGTTCCCCTGTAACTACCACGACCAAGGGGACCTTCCTCTCTGCTGTCTTTAGAGGATTCAAAGCAAAGTATGGGAACAGAGATGCCACAGGAGCTACAGGAGCACACGCAGGGCTCCTGTAGCTCCCCATGTCCCCATCCCAGGCAGCTTCCCATGGTGCTCCCCCAGCAGCTCTCCTTCGGCTCCCCCAGGACACAGCGGGACCTCCCAGGGAAAAAAGTGTGCAAGACATTTTTATTCTTTCCCAGAGATCCTGGTATGTGTGGACCCCCACCTCCCTTTGCTGCTGGAGCTCAAGACAAGAGAAAAAGCACTTTGTCTTATGCCTGGAGAGCTATGCAAAGTAGCTGCTATAGGAAAAGTGGGAGAAGGCAACACCCCCTGCAGAGGTTTGGACCGACAGTGTCTGGGGCACCTCGGTGGCAGTGTGTCCTCCCTAGGGCACTCACCATGCCATCAGAGCAGTTGGAGCGGGGACTGGAGGCATCCGATTCCCCACTGTAGTGCTCCAGCACCGGGTAGTAAGCATCCTCCTGCTCCCGCAGCAGTGCCTGCAGGCTTTCAATGTAGCGGATGGCGTTGCGCAGGATCTCCACCTTGGGCAGGCGCTGGTTGGGGTTGGTGGAGGTGCAACGCTTCAGAGTCTCAAAGGCCTCATTGACCTTGCTGAGCCGCCGCCGCTCTCTCATAGTGGCAGCCTTACGGCGGTCAGCATTAGTGGTCTTCCTCTTGCAAGCCTTGCAGGCCCATAGCAGGCAGCGGCCGGCCTGGTGGTGCCCGCTGGGTGCCCGGACGTGCTCCTCCTCGTGTGGGTGCCCGTGGTGGTGTGGGTGCTCCTCGGGCTTCAGCAGACCCCCCACATGCACCAGCCGGGGGTCCAGGTCCTCAAAGAAGTGCATGTCTGATGTGTTGAAGCACGGGTCATCATAGAAGTCATCAGCGGCTGCGAAGGAGCAGAGGGAGCCCTCCGTCATTTCCATAGGGCCCAGTAAGTCCATGGGGGCAGCGGCGGATACAGTAGCTGTGCCGGGGGGGGGGGGGGGGGGGGGGGGGAGTGAGATCAGAAGAGAGGGGGTTTCGACCGGGGCGTTCAGCGACAGGCACCGGCCAGGAGGGTGTTGCAGAGCGGAGACCCTCACACCCTCTCCCAGGCGAACACACCAGCAACAGCAGCTGCTGCCGCCGAACCCCTTCCCAACCGCGCCGGTCAGGGAGTGCCACTCGAGGCCGCATTTATGCCAGAGCCCCCCCGCCCCCCGACGAGGCGCGTCGGGACGGGACGGGACGGGGCGGGGCGTGAAGTGAAGGGGGCCGAGGCCATCGGAGCCGCTGGAGCAGCGTTGGACGGGGGGGCGAGAGAGTGAGCGAGCGGTGTCGCTCGGCCGCGGGGAATACCGCGGGCCGCTGCTGAGGGCGGTGGGGCTGCTGCAGAGCTAACTGCAGAGCTAACTGCAGCAGCCGCCGGCGCTCTGCTGCACGGGTCTTTTTCTCTTCTTTTTTACTTCCCCCCCCCCCCACACCACTTATCAGCCGCCCGCCCTGCCCTGCGCAGCCCGTCAGGGAAAGCCATGCTCGCCGCTGCCCGCAGGTGCCGGCAGGCGCCAGCCCTGCGCCCCGGGGGCTGGCTGCGCTCCCGCTCTTCCCGCACGCACCGGCGGGTGTGAGACGTTTTGCAACGCGTCTCCCTGCACCTCCCGGCCGGTGGGCGGCGGCGGCGGCTCCGCTGGTTTCTCCCAGGGAAGAAGCCCCCAGCCCCGGGATGGGTTTCTCGGCGCCGGCCCCTGCCGTGCGGCTCTGCGGCCACAGGGTAACTACTCCGGGGGCGTTCGTGAGGGCGAACGGTGTGGGCGGCACCTGGGCGCCGGGTCAGGGACGCCGCGGAGAGCCAGGGCCGTTCCCGCGCGGCGGGCGCAGAGGGTGTGAGGGGAGAGGCAGGGCGGGAAACGTCGTGGCTGAGGGGAGCCGGCGGGCGACCGCCTTCAAAATGGTGGCCGCGTGGTGGCGCTGCGCTCGGCCGCAGGTGGCGGCGTGACATGGCCGCCTCTAGGTGGGGGTAGCGGCCCGCCGCACTTCGCCGCCTGGGCCGGTCGTCCCCGACGTCACCTGCGCGCCGTGAGCGGGGCCGTGGAGGAGGGGGGCAGGCAGGTCTCCGGAAGAGGGCGGTGAGGGAGGAAGTGAACGCGCTCGTCCCGGAGAGCAGCTTCTCTGGGGCCGTGGTTCTCTGCCCTCCGCCGGAGCGTGTGTGTGTGTGTGTGTGTGTGTGTGTGTGTGTGTGTGTGTGTGTGTGTGTGTGTGTGTGTGTGTGTGTGTGTGTGTGTGTGTAATTCCCAGCAGAAAAAAGCGTGTGTGCCTGGGGTCTTGGGAATCAGGGTGTCCCTGCCCACGTGCAACTCAGGTACAGTTCAGAAATACATACCAAGGATGGAACAGGGCTCAAGCGCTGTTAATTGTAACTGTTTGACCTCCGAGCAAAATCAGGTTGTGTGGGAGGCTGAAATCTGGAGTGGCTGAGACACCAGCTAATGCCTGAACAAGTTGCAGCCGTATTTATCACGGGAAGCATTTGATTCCTCCAAATAAGCAATGTAGTAATGGCTCAGTAATGATGTACTGAAGGAGAGCTGAGGCCCGAGCTACGTTCAGCCATCACTTCAGCAAATGACTCACATGAGCTATGATGTATAAATTTGCATTTCAGGTACTTCTTTAAACTCAAGTGTCTGTTTACCTTTATTCTAAAATCTTCGAAGAGAGAGACTTCACCTTGTGAAGTTGCATTTTGCTGCACATGTAGTTGTGCTGCTTTGAGATCAGAAATTCGATTCTTTTTCCAATACAGAAGCACTTCAGCAATTCAAGTGTGTGAGTTCATTGACTTCACGATTGAAATAGTTATGGGTGTTTTTAATGTGCCATAAGATAAAATTAATTTCTATTCTGCAGCTACAGCTGTTGGTAAAATTGAAACTCAGTCAAAATCAAAAGCAAAGCTCAGCCTTCCACAAGGCAAAGGGCTAGCTGAGAGGTTCTGAAAAGCTAAAAGACATCCACCAATGATCTAATCCCCAGTCCCTGTGCCTGTGACTTCTCAGAGGGGCTATGGTGACTTCTTTTGTTGTTATGTGATTTGTTTTTTGCAAAAGTTCCTAATCTGCAGCCCCAATTTTCTACTTAAATGTCTTTGACTAGAATTAAAGGTAACAACTGTTAGTCACATTCTGACATTATCTCAAAAGATAACATTTTTATTTAAGGTATATGTTTTAGACCCTGTACAAACTCACTCTTTCAGTGTGTCCAATGCTGAAAAGTGGTATGTCCCAAGGAGATCAGCTATTGACCACTTTTATACATTCACAAGTGTATGTCCCAGCTGTTTCCAAGAGGCAGAGTAGCAAACTTGTGGAAACACTTCACTGTTATTACAGAAGTTCTTTGATCCAGAAGGAATGAGCAGATTTTGGGTTTGTTTGGTTGGTTGGTTTGTTAGGGTTGGTTTTGGCGTTTTTTTTTTAAAGTAAAAATAATTAATATTCAAAAATAGTGGTAGGTATACAATAAGGCATAATAAGTATGAATGAGGAATAGTTGTAACAAATAAACTTGTAAATTGGGATATCAGGGCTTGGTGCTGGCTGTGTGACCCACTCAAGACACTTAAACTTTCTCTAGATCATTGGTTTCATTTGTGGAAAAGGTAATTTTACCTAATATTTGGTCAGTGTTGTAGTGTATTCTGTCACCGTGTGCTTCTAGGTTATATTTGACTCTAGGAAATGTCACTCTGGGACTTGTGTGCATAGTGGTAGCAAATGGTGTGACTTGGACAAGCAGTACAAGGAGACTGCCAGTAATTGTCCATGAATGAGCTTAAGTGCCTGAACTGATCTAAGTGAAATAGTCATGAGAAAGCCATGACCAGATGGTGAATTCTGCTCAGAGAGATCTTCCAGTGGAGGTGCCCTTGAGGACTACTTTTCTGCTGCTGTGACCAGAACTGACGTTCACTTTCCAGTATTATTAACAAGATGGGTTTGTCCAGAAAGATGTTGCCTTGTATGGTGGGGACTGAAAAACAAGTCCATGCAAAGAGCAGATCCTGAGGTGCTCTGCTAAATTTTGTGTGGTCATAGTAGAGAGGATGAAGGACAGCATGATCTCCACATAGAGACTGCAAGTGAATTCCTCACTCTGAGATTAGGCACCCATAAGCAGTGCTTGTGGCAAGCATTTAGAACTATGCTATTGGTAATACCTGTTTGGAGCATCTGTGGCTGTAACTCGTAACTCCAGTAAAGTCTCTCCAGAGCTTCCAGTTTGGATGCTGTATTTAGGGCACTAGTGCTGCTATTCTGAGCTGTCCCAGACTGCGTGTGTGAATGGTTTGGGTGTTGCTTTGGAGGTACTGATACAGAGTGTGTATATGAACAAGCAGAGAAAGAGAATTTTAAACTTTTCTCTAAGAGTTGTTGCTCTTATACCTGTTCCACACTCATCCTTCATCTCCTTTTTTTGCAGGGTGCTATTGAAAAGGAAGCTGAGAACGCAGGGACAGGTTGTACTTCCTGTGCTGAGAAGCATGGACAGACTCATCCTATGTGCAATAGACAGGTATTGTTAACACAGTTTCAGATTATATGAGCATATGTGCCCTCTCAGCAGAAGCAGCATGTGGACAAGAGGAGCTTGCTATCTACAGTAACTGATTGATTTCTTTTTCCTTTTTCATGGGATAGAGACTGGGAAAATAGCTGACTGTGAGCTTATGTAAAATTAACAGAATTGTCTCTTCAGGCAGAGGGCCCAGAATGTGTTTTGGAAAAGGGAGAGAGAAAGACCTGCAGTCTGAGAATATGTGGATATGTATGGCTAGAAAGATGAATAATGAGAAGAGAAACAGACATGGTAGTATTTCAGGGAAAAAAGAAGCAAGTCCTGCTTAAAAAAAAAAACAAAATATTGGGCTCTTTGTTATGTTGGAATTCATTTAAGGTAAAGGTCTTCAGCGCTGGAAACCACGGAGGAGGCTGTACCTCCATTTCAGAAGGTCACCAGCTCTAAAGAAGACTGTTGCAGAAGTAGGCCATGCGTTACCTACTTCTGGAGTATTTGGAGTGGGTTTATCTGGCACTAGTTTGCAAGTCAGCGAGTAGCTTTGCTCTGTTCATACTTAGTGAGCTGTATTTTAATACTGAGAGGGATGGATTCCATTGCTCTTACTCATGTTGAGTTGCAGTCAGTGGAACTAATTGTTGAATAAGGTATGCTCAGCATGAGGATAGATGATGGAATCTAGCCCAGATGGAAATATCTTTTAAACCACTGCTATATTAGAGAGCAGCCATCTTAATACAGGCAAATCTAGCATGTTGCTAAAAGTGCTTCAAGCCGTTCTTGTGGCACACTAGTATTTTTACAGATAAATGCAGGGGTTGTTTTAAAGTGATCCCCTCCCCACTCCCAAGGTTGAATCATATTAAGAGAAAGACTGGGAAAACATTTGCATTGTTGTCTGCCCTGCGTTAAAACACCAACAGAAAGTAGGTGGGATAATGCAGAAATCACTACTTAACTGCAGCTGTGTATAAAATTCAGTTTACTGAAAATGTTTTGTTGTACAGTGTTCTTAATGCAGTTTTCTGGCATTTATTGTCATTCTGTGGTCTTCCATCTCGTGCAACTTTCTTAGTAGAAACGTATTGGTGCAGTTTTGTATACACATGCAAAATTCTCTTGGAGAGAATACTAGCATGCCTATGTGGTAAATTGAGGATTGGAGTACAGATGCAAATTGCCACTTCTGAACTGAATTTATTGTCAAGCATAACAAAAGTATCACAGTATTACATAAAAGTGTGAGACAATCTGTCAGTGAGGCAAACTCTAGGTATGTAAAAGGTAATGTATACAGAGATGAAAAAGCTAGCTGCAGGCATCTGATCTAACCAGTTGCTCTTCTTAGGTGACCTTGGTAGCCAGTGTACAGAGAGGCTCTCCTGTAGGAGATGAACAGAAGGAATCTGGACAGCTCTGAACTCTACCCAAGCTGGCTAAAGCAAAGGCTGTAGGTGTGGTGGTGCTAATAGCCTCCTTAACTGAACACTGCCCTAACTGAAATGCAAAACTGGCCGCTCTCTAGGATGCAATTCTAGTTAATTGTGCTGTATTTTCACTAGGATCTTACTCCTCTACTGAGTACCACGATAAATACAAGAAAGAGCAGTAATGTCATACTAATACTACAATTTAACTAGCTGAAAGAGGGGTCTATATGGTAATTAAAACATCCACCCTAGATTAAGTCTGAACAGAGCCCTGGAGCTAGCTATGCACGAGAACGTGTAAAGATCACATCTAATGAGAACCCATAATGTCTCTCCTCTGCTTTATGAGGATGAGAGAAGCCAACCAGGCAAATAACTGTAGAGAATACCAGCACATTATCTTACTCCCACTGTTAAGAAAATGTTTGCATCCTTCATCCTGGAGAAGTACACCACTAGAAATAGCTGGGTGATAAGTAAATGAATTAAGACTACTCATTTAAATAGCTACAATTATAGAACTAAGATAAGAAAACCTTGTTTTAAAACAGCCTTTTTCAAAAGAGTTAATTTTGTTAGTATACTTGTTAGTAATGTAAAATATGTCAGTAATATAAAATACTTAATATTATAAATTTAAATCTTTGTATTTTATGCCACATAGAAGTTTCCATATACTAAAGTTGCTTTTTTATTTTTAATAAAAGTTATATATACTGTTAGAAATAATTTTCACTAACTAATCATTTAAGATAGAAAAGAGGTTTAAAAGCTTCTAGGAAGAATTACATATATAAAAATGTGATTAATGCAAACAATCTAGGTAACTAGCAACCTTGCTGTCATTTAAACACAATAATGATATGGGATAGATTTTGAGCTGTCACTCGACAGAGGACAGAGTGTAAGGCAGGAGGGGCAATACAGCATCATGTCTCCTGAGTCCTGGTCTCAAGTCCACCCTCTATACAGGTCTGCCTTAGGAGCTGCCTTGTAGCTGCAACAGCCACAGCATTAAAGGCCCTCCTTGCCCTGCTTCACTTTTGCTCCTGTCCCATCATTACGCTGTGGCAGCATGGTAGCACAGTGTATGGTTGCACAGATTGGCCCTGTGCCATTTCTGTGCTGGGAAGATTCTCTCGGGGGTTGCTTCAGACCCTCTGCAGCTCCTGTACAATGCTGCAGAGACAGGGAGGGCTCTATGCCTGTTCTGAACTCTTCCTGCAACCGGTCCATAAAGTAATCGCCAAGACTATTCCTGCCATCCTGGGAACAGTCAAGCCTGCGAGCGTTGGTCAGCAGATCTCCCATCAGCTTGATCTTCCGGATTTTGGGCCCAATAAATTGTTTCTTGATAGTGCTTGCGCTATGAGGGTCAGCATTTTCAATACTCAGGGCATAAAGCTCTTCAAAATACCGTACCATAGTTTTCCACTGTACCATTGCTAGTTCCAGGGCCTTCATCAGACCAACTGCATACTCACAGTTTGGTTTCTAAAAACAAAGACAGAATTACATTTATTTAGAAGAACAGCTCATCTTACTGTATTCATTGATGGTTTCCTGCAACTTACCTGGTGCTATAAACAAGATGGGCTAGGATTTTGCAACAGCTCCTTCTAATTGGGAGCATCTGTTGTTTTTTTTGCAGAGTTGGATGGCTGTAAACATACAGAAATGGCAGAACCCATGCACTTTTTCAAGGAACAGATATACATGGCAGCAGTTATGCTTTAGGAGCATTCTTAACCCAGGAAAACTTATCAGAGAATCAGAATGGTTTGGATTGGAAGGGACCTTAAAGATCATCTTCTTCCATCTCCCTGTCATGGGGACCACTAGACAAGGTTGCTCAAAACAGCCTGGCCTTAAACACTGCCAGGGATGGGGCAGCCATAGCTTCTTTGGGCAACCTGTGCCACGGCCTCACCACCCTCACAGGGAAGAACTTTTTTGTTACATCTAATCTATTTTTTTCAGCTTAAAACTTACCCCTCATCCTGTCATTACACTCCCTGATAAAGAGTTACATCTAATCTATTTTTTTTTGCTACATCAATTTTTTTCAGTGTAAAACTTACCGCTCATCCTGTCATTACACTCCCTGATAAAGAGTTCTTTCCCATTTTTCCTGTAGGCACCTGTTAAATACTGTAAGGCCATTATAAAGTCTTCCCTGATTGAAACTGAATATTTAGAAGTTTTTCAAGATGGCCTTTTTATTTTCACTTTCTTAACAACTGCTGTAATAGGCCAATGAAGAGCATTCTGTATTAAGTATTTACAAAATACTGATTTGGTTGAGGAGAATCAGCCACTTGGTCTTTAACAGGCACGGTGTTTTTTTTTTTTCCCTGATAGCTTTGAGTTATTCCTTTGTACCTGTGCAAGCCTGAGTCAGATCTCCAGGTCAAATTTTATCTTGAGCTGTGCTCCAGCAGGACAACTACTGCCCCAAGCTGGATGTTTCTCCTACCTACTTCTTTACTACCTTTCTTAGGTGCTAATAGATTCTGGGCTTCTGTCTGTTTAATTCCAGTGTGAAGGAGACAAGTTGGCTGTTTCAGTCTCATAAACCGTTACAGCATGCTGGAAATAGCAACTGAATAAAAGAAAAAGGGGACCACTGTTCTTCCGGGCTAGAAAGCAACCACATTGTTAGGGCTGTATGTCTCACAGTTTCTAGGCATCACAATCAAGAATAAACCCATGACCACTAATACGACAAGGAGATTGTATCTGGAAATCTAATAGTGGATGAATGCAGACATCTGAAGTACCAACAATATAATGCAAGAAGTTAGAATAATTACTGAGGTCTGCAACTGCTGGAGAGCTTATCAGCTAGTACCCACCTGAATGGTTTTAGAACAGTAATGGCCACCTCTTTCTTGTTGATACTTCATCAGAGCCTCTGCAGCTTTTCTTTCTTCCAGAGCTTGATGCAAGAAGAACTTTGAAACATTTGGTAGAGCCACATGTGACTGATCAAAATATTCACTCTAAGCACACAAAACATGAGTATTAAGATTTGCTGGAGATGGGACTCGCTTGCAGCAGAACACGGCTTTATGAAAACATGGGAGAGCCTTCCAATGGAAGCTGTTCTACCAGCACAATCACTTTGAAGACCTAATCCAAATTTCTGCAATAAATGAAGTAGTTATGGTCTTAAATGAAAAAAAAAATATCTATACTTCTACTGGAACTCCTGCCCTTTAATACTGGACAGGTAACTGCAGTAGTGATGTTAAGTCTCAGCAGCAGTCAGAGATCCACAGAATATTTTATTTATGAGTGGCTGGGGATAGGTTTTGAGGTTTTGTGTGGCCTTTTTGTTTGGCTACTTTTTATATTTTTTTAAACAGAGTCACACAAAGAACATCAAATTTATCCCTTCAGGTCAGCATTCCAGTGAAAAGTTTGAAGTTTGCTTTCAAAGATACGAAAAAGATGAGGCAAATAAAAAAGCATAACTTTGCATCTATTTATTAGCTTTGTTATGGATAATGTTATTCCACAATAAAGAATACTGCTGCTGAACTGTACTGTGTGCACATGTCTAGGAACGCTTAAGTACTACAACCCTAAACACGCTGCAGCCCTTGTTCTGGTCTGTATGGGAAAGTAACACCTTTAACCACTGCAGTATATTAATCATACTAATAGATCTATCAGCTCTTACATTAGAATAATTTTATCCATGGTAGTGCTGTCCATAAAGAGAACTTAATGGAGACAGGCAGCAAAGGAGAGCCACCAGGTTATACTGGCTTCAGCACTGGCTCTGTACAGCTCTGATGTTGAGAAAGATGAGAGGCAGCAGCTGGGAATATGCCAAGAACCAAATTGAGGCAATTAGTATCTTGATTTGCTGCTTCTCTAAACATGCATATGTAATGCAGCACAGCTTTTGTCTTCTGGACATGCTCTGGGTTGCAGTACTCCATCTCAAGCTGTTGGCTTGTAGCCTGCCTGCGAGGGGGAGGGAACAAATATGTGCATTTCCTAAGTCTTTCTGCTTACTGTTTTCCCTGCTTTCATCTATTACTGTTTAGATACGAAATACTTGTGTTTCATCTATGCTGCTCTGTTTAGAAAAAATGCAGAAGAGTTATATACACAGTACAAGTTTGTTTGTCTCTTGTATTTTTATGGCCAGCTGGATACCCCAGACCCGTGACACACATACACGTGTGACCATAAAGCCATTCAAGAGAAAACACATACTGGAATCTTTTATTAAGAACATTCATTGAAGTATTTGCATAATCCTTTTGCTGAAGTCACTCATTCTTGTTTCGGTTGACAGCAGAGTCAAGATTCAGTGTTTTATAACCAGTTCCTCAGTGCAAGCGTGCTGTGTGACTTCAAGCAGAGCACAAGTTACCACACCTGCTTAACTGTTAAGGTAAATCTTTTATGTAAATCATTAACTGTTTAATATGTTCACATTTCTAGGTTTGATGCATCCACAGTCAATATCTAATTGAGCTTTCCTTATCCCACCAAGCTGCCAATCACTAGTATCATTCTAATCCACATGCTTAACAAGTGGAGGTTTTACTGCATACTTACATTTTTAGTGGACTAATAGTTGACACCATGCTTGATCAAGAGATCTTGGGGATATACTGAATATAGTTTGTATTGCTTCTCAGTGGATGCTTGGCATCAGAAGGGATAGCATTGATAATTTTGTTTACAATCTTAATTGCTTTGTTAAAATACATGTTGCCTTAATATTCGATATGTAATCAGACACAATTTTGGCATGCATGTTACATGGTATCAGAGATAACTTTGATAACTTTTTTAATTCATGTCCAGCATTCCTGCATGCGGAGCAAAACAGTGATGTTTGCAAACTTCACCCGTTAACCACACACAGCTATTTTACATACAAAGTTTGGAGAAAAAAACCCACAAACTCTGAGAAGTTAATAGTTCAGATTTGTTAGTGTTCCCTGTAACAGTCCCTCTTTTCACAGGCATAACACAAGTGCCTGCTTCATCACCCGCTAGTTCCGGACTTTCGCTGTCGTTCCACTAGTCGTGTCAGGGGCTGCACCGGGATAAGCGCAGCGGTAGCAGCGACCATCAGGAGCCGACTCCGACAGCAGCGCTGGTGCGCTGCCGGGTCTGGGTGCGAAAAGCGCCCCCACATCCCGCTGGGTCACTTCATGAAGCAGAACCACTCTTCCATACCTGCCCAGCTTCGAAACCCCCCTTAACCCCCGATAGCCCCGGCGGGACCTGCTCCAGGCCCCGGGCACCTTGTTACCCCACCGCCCGGCGGCTGCTCGGGCAGGGCGCGGGGGGAGCCACGCTGCAACCTCTCCCGCCTCTCGGGACATCCTCGCCCGGTCCCGATGCTGGCCCTGTCCCGCCGCCTTACCAGCGCCTGTAGGCAGTAAGCGAGCTCCAGCAGGGCGCCGGTGACGCCGCAGAGGCCTTCCTCCACGGCGGGCGGGAAGCTCTGCCTCACGCGGCTGCCGGGCAGCGCGCGGTGCGCCTGGCAGGCGGGCAGCGTCACGCGGGGCCGCTTAGAGCGCGGCTCAGCCATGGCGGACGCCGCCATCGGGGGTCTGCCCCACCGCGTCGCCTGATATAGCGCTGGCACCTGGGACACACCTTGCCGCGCTCGGCGGCTCCGGGCCGCCCCTTCCCGCCCCCCTCCCGGCCCGTGCCGGCGGGAGGTGCGCGCGGTTGCCCGCCCTCGCCGGGAGGGTGGGGGGGGGGGGTAGGACAGGGCCGCCGTGGTGCGCGCGCCCGGGGGCTGGTGCGGCCGTGAACAGCACGGACCGGTGTGGGGCCGGGGCCTCGGCGCCCGGCCCGGCCCACCTCCCCTCGGCCTGGCGTCGGTCGGTAGGTGGGAAAGGCCACGCAGTGACTCGGCCTTTTTACGAGAGGCTTATTTGAGGGAGAGTCGCCAAGGACGGCCACATTTAAACATCTCTAACAGTGAGCGAGCTGTGAGAGCACAGCGCGGCCCAGTTGAAGCCGCAGCAGCTGATGGTAGCTGCAGTCAGGTACAGGCGTGCGGAGGGTGTGGTCAGTGAAAATCCTGGGAACTGAGCAGTGTATATGAATGGGTCTCGGCTACAGGGTATAAATCCTTATCTGTTCTAACTTAGAAATGTTTGCGTGAACTGGTCCTACCTAGGCAGATTGAGCCATCTTTAGTATTGTAACTAATAATTTTCAGTCTATAGAGTGATTTAAAGATACAGGTTTCTGACTTCAAGTTTCTGAGTTTTTCACTATTGATTTACTGTTGGATGGAGCCATGCATGTTACTGCTTGAGCATTTATTTACCCTTAATAGGCTCAAGCCGTTGGAGTGGAAATACAAGTAATCTCAACACCCTTCAAATTTAATGATTTTCTGATCAGTGACTTTCTGTTTAGTAAGCTTAATGTTAGGTGCCGTTCTGTGGAATATTTTTCTAGCCGATCACCCCACTCCTCCCCAAACCCAGTTTATTAAGGGCAGAATCATTATTAGAATCATAGAATAGTTAGGGTTGAAAAGGACCTTAAGATCATAAAGTTCCAACCCCCTGCCATGGGCAGGGATACCTCACACTAAACCATGTCACCCAAGGCTCTGTCCAGCCTGGCCTTGAACACCACCAGGGATGGAGCATTCACAACTTCCCTAGGCAACCCATTCCAGTACCTCACCACCCTCACAGTAAAGAACTTCTTCCTCATATCCAATCTAAACTTCCCCTGCTTAAGTTTTAACCCATGACCCCTTGTCCTGTCACTACAGTCCCTAATGAAGAGTCCATCCCCAGCATCCTTATAGGCCCCCTTAGATACTGGAAGGTTGCTATGAGGTCTCCACGCAGCCTTCTCTTCTCCAGACTGAACAGCCACAACTTCCTCAGCCTGTCTTCATACGGGAGGAGCTCCAGTCCCCCGATCATCCTCGTGGCCCTTCTCTGGACTTGTTCCAACAGTTCCATGTCCTTTTTATGTTGAGGACACCCGAACTGCACACAGTACTCCAAGTGAGGTCTCACGAGAGTAGAGGGGCAGGATCACCTCCTTCAACCTGCTGGTCACGCTCCTTTTGATGCAGCCCAGAATACCGACAAGTAGAGGTGCCATGCTTGACCTCGTGCTCACCAACAGGGAAAGGCTCATTGGAAATGTGATGCTGCAGGGCAGCCTTGTATGCAGCGATCACGAGATGGTCAAATTCGAGATCCTCAGGACAGTGAGAAGAGCATGCAGCAAGCTCACTGCCCTGGACTTCAAAAGAGCAGACTTCGGCCTCTTCAGGAACCTGCTTAGTAAGGTTCCATGGGATACAGCTCTAGAGGGCAGGGGGGCCCAAGACTGTTGGTTGATATTCAAGGATCACCTGCTACAAGCTCAGGAGTGTTGCATCCCAACCAGAAGAGAGTGCAGCAGGAGGGCCAGGAGACCTCCTTGGATGGATAAGGAGCTCCTGAGGAAAATTCAAATGAAAAAAGAGGCTTATAAAAGGTGGAAGCAAGGACAGGTGGCATGGGAAGAGTACAGGGATGTTGTCTGGGAAGCTAGGGACCAGGTTAGGAAAGCTAAGTCCCAGTTAGAATTAAACTTGGCTAGGGATGTTAAGGATAACATGAAGGGATACTACAGGTACGTAGCAAATAAAAAACAGACGAGGGACAACGTAGGCCCCCTCTGGAAGCTATTGGGAGAACTGGCTACACAGGATTTGGAGAAGGCTGAGGTTCTGAATGACTTCTTTGCCTCGGTCTTCACTGGCAAAGGCTCTGGCCAAACCACCCAAGTCTTGGAAGGCAGACGCAGGGACTGTGAGAATGAAGACCTTGGGCCCACTGTAGGAGAGGAACTGGTTCGAGACCATCTTAAGAATCTGAACATGCACAAGTCCATGGGACCCGATGAAATCCAGCCGTGGGTCCTGAAGGAGCTGGCAAATGAAGTTGCGAAGCCACTGGCCATCATATTTGAAAAATCGTGGCAGTCAGATGAAGTTCCCGATGACTGGAAAAAGGGAAATATAACCCCCATTTTCAAGAAGGGGAAAATGGATGACCCGGGGAATTACAGACCAGTCAGTCTCACCTCTGTGCCTGGCAAAATCTTGGAGCAGGTTCTGCTGGAAGGCATGCTAAGGCACCTGAAAAACAACAAGGTGCTTGGTGACAGCCAGCATGGCTTCACTAAGGGGAAATCCTGCCTGACCAATTTGGTGGCCTTCTATGATGGGGCTACAGAACTGATGGACAGGGGTAGAGCAGTTGATGTCATCTACCTGGACTTGTGCAAAGCGTTCGACACTGTCCCACACAACATCCTTGTCTCTAAATTGGAGCGATATCAATTTGATGGATGGACCACTCAGTGGATAAAGAACTGGCTGGATGGTTGCATCCAAAGAGTTGTGGTCAATGGCTCAATGTCCAGCTGGAGACCAGTAACGAGTGGTGTCCCTCATGGATTGGTGTTGGGACCGGTCGTTTTCAAAGTCTGTCACTGACATGGACAGTGGGATTGAGTGCGCCCTCAGCAAGTTTGCCGATGACACCAAGCTGTGTGGTTCGGTTGATACCCTGGAGGGAAGGAATGCCATCCAGAGAGACCTTGACACACTTGTGAGGTGGACTGATGCCAGCCTCATGAAGTTTAACCATGCCAGGTGCAAGGTCCTACACCTGGGTCAGAGCAATCCCAGGCACAGGTACAGGTTGGGCAGAGAAGAGATTCAGAGCAGCCCTGTGGAGAAGGACTTGGCGGTGTTGGTTGATGAGGAAATGAACATGAGCTGGCTTCAGTGTGTGCTCGCAGCCCAGAAAGCCAACCATATCCTGGGCTGCATCAAAAGGAGCGTGACCAGCAGGTCGAAGGAGGTGATCCTGCCCCTCTACTCTGCTCTTGTGAGACCTCACTTGGATTATTGTTTGCAGTTCTGGTGTCTTCAACATAAGAAGGACATGGGACTGTTGGAACAAGTCCAGAGGAGGGGCACGAGGACGATCAGGGGACTGGAGCACCTCCCGTATGAAGACAGGCTGAGAAAGTTGGGGCTGTTCAGCCTGGAGAAGAGAAGGCTGTGTGGAGACCTCATAGCAGCCTTCCAGTATCTGAAGGGGGCCTATAAGGATGCTGGGGATGGACTCTTCATTAGGGACTGTAGTGATAGGACAAGGGGTCATGGGTTAAAACTTAAGCAGGGGAAGTTTAGATTGGATATACAGAAGAAGTTCTTTACTGTTAGGGTGGTGAGGCACTGGAATGGGTTGCCCAGGGAGGTTGTGAATGCTTCATCCCTGGCAGTGTTCAAGGCCAGGTTGGACAGAGCCTTGGGTGAGATGGTTTAGTGTGAGGTGCCCCTGCCCATGGCAGGGGGTTGGAACTAGATGATCTTAAGGTCCTTTCCAACCTTAACTATTCTGTGATTCTATGAGTCTATGATACGGTTGCTGTTCTGGGCTGCAAGTGCACACTGAAGCCAGCTCATGTTCATTTTCTCATCGACCAACACCCTCAAGTCCTTCTCCACAGGGCTGCTCTGAATCTCTTCTCTGCTCAACCTATAGCTATGCCTGGGATTGCTCTGACCCAGGTGTAGGTGTATTCTGTTACACATGTTAATTGTTATTGGATCTGACTACCTAGAGCAGAGCACGCATCTGAGAGTAGTCACAAAAATATGTCAGAAAATTGCTCATGACAAAAAAAGTTTCATACTTCTAGTTAGGTGTCTCTCTCTTGTATAATCTTCAGCCCTCTTTGTTTATTATAATTGTCCGGTTTTCATTCTTCTGATTCTTTATGCTGTATTTAAATTTGAAGTTCCAGCAAATAAACTGTAAAACTGTGCTAAGTTTACCTTAAAAAATCCCAAACATTTAAGCATATTTTAAGCACTTGAGTGAAACTGCATGTGAGGAAAGTACACTTGTAATGTTTGCAAGGCTAAAATAAGTACCTAAATTCGTAAGCTACATCATATTCATTGACACGAATGCCTATATGCCCTCTTTCACTGGGGCACTAGGAACTTTTGCTGTTAACGTATTTCTAGCAGTTACCTTTTAGCTCCCTCCATTCCAACTGTCTTTGCTGGGCCAAGCAAAATAGTTGCAAGTGTTCTGTTTTTCTGGAATAATCCTTTGCCTCAGAAGAGGAGTAAGTGTGTGTGCATGTATCCATTGACATTCTAATCTGAATAGAATACTTGACCTTGTTTCTGTGGGCAGTCCAAATAATTTGAAATTGCAATAGAAAGCAAGTTAGCTAGTGTCTGTGGAAAAGTTTACAGTTATGTTTTGTTAGGTGGAGTTCATAGCAATAATTTCTGAGCATATTGGCTCATAGGTGCTTCCATCTGTGTTGGTAGATTCTGGTTCCTTGGAAGTCAATGTTAAGTTACCCGTTTTCAGTAATGGAGAGCTAAGATGCAAAGACGTTTCCTGAGGGTACCTATGATATATCAGGCTTGATCTGAAAACTGACTCTAAATTTCCTTAGTCTTCATCTGTTCTTTAACCCCTCTTTTTATGAGAACACCATTCAATTTATTTTGCTTTGTGCTTCATAGAACTAAAGGCAGTACATGTCATTTGTATTGTAATAAAATTCATTGTGCAAAAATTCCATTGCAAATTAATGGAATAGCATGAGGTATTGTCACATACTGGTTGTATCTGAGAATAATACTATCTGTTCCAAAA